AGGCCTATGCGATTTGATCACGTCCTGATTAACCTGAATTTTCCGTTTTGTACCTTGTTAGTAAAACTTATCTCTGAAAATAAAAGGTAATTACTCAATTGTAAAGCTAACGTTCAAGCAAAATTGTGTCAAACTTTGACCTAAAGAAGAGTTAATGTTACTCCATTGATCAACACAAACAGGCTGTGGATGTGGTGGCCTTTTTGACGTGTTCTCATTGATTGAATGGCACTCCTAGGGCTTAGCCTAGAAGCTAAGGGGGCCTCTCCAGGCATTCTAACACAATTCTATAGGCCTAGTAGGCGTATAGTGAGAATGTGTAGGCCCTCTAGTATAGGCCTAGTAGCTATTTAAGAATTTTGTTAGTCTTAGTTAGATTTGAAATCTGCATAGGCCTAGGCCTACATAGTAATAATATATAGGCCTATAGTTAGTAGTATTGTATTAATTTTGTTAGTAATCGACCAACATTTTGGCTGGGCTGGGTGGGGGTCACATGGCTTTCTTTTTGATCTGGATGCAAGATAATAAGGACTGTTCAATCACTTCCTTTCCTTTCGTAACTGAATTAAACATTATACAGATTAAAGATACGGATCTACACCTTTGCTATGATTTTGTTTTGTAGAACAGTGAGTTAAGCTTCCATTTCTTTACTACAGTAAAAATTATCACTATTTGAAAATTGTCATATTGCTTGTTGAACGTATTCATTACAGTATTATAGTTCGCCCTCCAATTTCTACAAAACTATGGCACCTGAAAAATTTAAGGTGTACTCAGGGTTCTGTTCTCTACTTTAGAGTGTTAGCGTTGTGTTAAAGGTTGACGATTGTTAATTGATTCTTTGAAAAAGTAGTGGTCGTCGAATTATAGGGGTCTCCAATTTGAGGGCACACTGTACAGTATCAATCAATCACAAAACTTGTAAAGCGGCGAGTATCCATACAGTATGTTCAATGGCGCACAAACAGCAGGGTTTTTAGTCGCTTCTTGAAAATCATAACGCTCTTTGACATCTTATATCATGAGGAAGAGCGTTCCACAAACGAGGTGCTGCACATGTAAATGAACGTTTTCTAAATGACTCATACCTGTATCTTGGAACATTAAGTAAAAGTTTATTGGTAGAACGGAGTGTGTGAGATGTAGAACGGTATTGCAAAAGGTCTCTGATATAAGATGATGATGTGCCATGTAATGCTTTCTGGACAATACTGGCAACCAATTGATGCAGTTTTCTTAATTATTAATACTGATGAGATATGTTCATATTTCCCAGTGCAAGACACAATTCTGGCAGCCGTATTTTGAACTCATTGCAATGGGTGAATATGTAACTTTGAGAGACCATACAATAGTGAATTTCCATAATCTGGTTTGGCTGATAACACAGCATGCACTATTATAGCACACAGGTCCTCAGAGGTGTATTTCCTTATATGATTATTCTTAAATAAAAGAAAATTTGACTACATACATGTCTTAGAAATGTGCTTCTTGAAGGTGTAATGTTCATTGAAAATGACTCCCAGATTTCTTGCTAACTGTACCGGCTTTAAGACACCTGAACCTCTTTTGCACGGAATTTATGTTGATGATGGATTTAAAGTATGCACCTCTACCTTCACAAAACATAAATTTAAATGTTCATTATTGAAGAAGTGTGTTTAATTCATTTTGTCTTGCATTTAGTGTTCTGTGCCAGCCTACAGTACAAATGATCAGTGCATTATGATAAAGGCTACTTGTGTTATTTGTCAGGAGTTCTTCCAGACAGATCACTCAATTTATTCAACACCATGTGGACATGTCTTTCATGAAGTTTGGTAAGTCTCACATTGCTCCTTTTTATGTTTGCATGCAAGTTTTTATAGATTTTGTATACATTAATCATATATCGCAATTTGGTTGAATAATTGTAACGTCATTGCATTAAAACATTCGCTGCCAGGGGCGTGAGTTCACCTCCAACAGGGTTCATGTTTCACTACATCATCGTGGCGGCCTTTATGCCTTGGCATGATTGAACTACGAAAAAGGCTTTTCAGTTAAAATGTGTTAACCCCAAATCCATACAAACATCTTCCAAGTGGAGGGTCAAATTCACAGTCGAAGTCTTCGGCCTGAGAAAGATGTGGACTACTTATTCTTGCAACTTACTTCTCCACTAAGGGTCCTGTCATGTCATCCTGCATAGGCCAAGAAGGTGCACCATCTACTCCACAATGGCAGGGGCTGTGAGACCAGTACACCGGGGTAACCCCTACTTGTCTCATATGATGTACTGAGTTCTTTTTATAGTACACATGAGCCAATGTGTACACTGGGCCTACGGTTCCCGAGAAGACTTGTTCCACCTCCACAATCATAGGCAAGCGTGCCGTTTGAACCAGTGTCGATATTATAACTGTAGGTTGCTGACTCGAGCCCTTGCTTTACCCGCACGGCCATTCGACTTGCCATACATGATATTATAAATTCTTTTTTGTACTAACTATAAAGTAATTGAATCTGAGAGCAGGTACTGTATAAAAATATGGGTTATAACATTGGTGTTAGTAAAGGGTGGTGAAGGGCCATGAAATTAGCTTAAGATTGGGTAGAAACCTTCAAGGCTGGGTGGCCCACCTTCAGCCACCATAACTGTATCCCCATGAGTAATGGAATAAAAAAAAAAAAATGTTAGAACTATGCCAAAATTCATAGTATTTTCATGTAATGTATTATTAACATACCATCTTACTGTGTGTTTTTGATATCAAGGGACATACTGAGGGCCACTGAATTTTCTCATTTTAAGAATGAATGGAATTCTGCTTGATGGATGCAAAGATTTTAATTTCTAGTCTACCTACCAATAATATTAGACTAAATTATTGTTGTTACAAATATACATAAAATGAATGTTTTTTTAAATTTCACCAGCTTACTAAAATGGATACAAACATCACCAACGTGTCCTCACTGTCGACATGCAGCTCGACTGAAGAATGTTGTTCGCCTTTTCTTTGAAACAGACAATGAAGATGATGATGGTTTAGACCCAACAAAATTAAAGGTAAAGTACATACACAACATTTTTATTACAAAATTAGTTGTTGCACCTGGGACCAAAAATGTTTTCCATCATCATTTACTATCAAGTAAAACATTGCTTTTATATTATAATAAACTATTATAAATATATGAATACACTTTATCAACAAAAAAGGTATACTTTACTGTACTTGACTCACTTGCTATTTATGACATCGCCACCTGAAAATCAGTAATTTTCTTTCTATATGTTTCTGTTTTTGTAGAATGAGCTGGATAGTATGAGTGCAGAGCTGGCTGGTTTTAACAAATTGAAGGCTGATCTAGTAACAGAAAAAGAAAAGTTAAATAGCAAATTGAAGAAATTAAATTCTGAACACAAATCAATGAGTAAAGAATTGCAGAGTGAATTGTCAACGAATCAAGCCCTAAGGGTAAGTTTCCAACCAGCCATATACCTTTTCAAATGAGCTACTTACAGTTACTGTGGGATTCATGACGGCGTATCACTCATATTGTAGCCTAAATTAATAGTGATTTTGGTCAGTGGGCATGCAATATGGCCTCCTGTTCATCATATCCATAAGGATTTCTCCTAGTGATAAACATTAACCAAAAAAAAAAAATAAAAAAACAGATACTGTAGAATTACCAGTAAAGAGTGGGGTTCAAATATTTTATTGTTGCACGTAACTTTATTGGAATCTAATACCATAAATCTGCATGTGCTTAGCATAAAAGGAACAAGTAGACAGTAGAAGATAAGTCAAATTTACACTGTATTTAATATTGAATCTGTTTTTGTGGTTTGTAGAAACAATTAAAGTACTTAAGTATTCAAGGAGATGAAGCTAAAGAAGCAAAGAAAACTGCAAAAGTGCTTCATGAAAAGCTGAGCCATTATGAAAGGTAGGCTTAAATGATTTTTACTTGAATTCAAATTCAACAGCAAGGAGGCCCATCACTTCCAGAAGGCACACAATGACCCACTAGCTATAGCATGCCCAGGTGGCCAATACTTACAGCATGCAATGTGGCCAACATTTGAGAGGAAGCAAAACTGACCCATCTCAAACAGAATGCCTCTATTTACATAATGCACACTTGGCCCACAACTTACAGATTAACCAGGTGGCCAACCGCATACAATACAAATCGCACCTGTGATGACCCATCACTTACCAAATGCACAGATGCTTATTTTTATTGCTCAGGGTTGACACTTGGTTTTCCCAGACCAAACGATCATAAGCAAAAGGAAGAAAAACAGAAAATAGAAACAATACAACAAAACCAAAAAAGCACAATGTTGAGATGATACACATTCTGTGAAAGAAAAAAAAAGAATGGAGGAAATAAAAAATGCAGAAAAACAGAAACTACATGTGTAGCCCAATATGGATAATAAGTCAAAAGCAATATTAAAACTGAGCATAAAATGGTGTAGTGCATGCAGGTTTCTTGAAAAAGATAAATTAATGTGCAAGCATCAGTGTTAAACAGCAGTTCCTTGGTAAAACAATGTAACTGCTTTTGTATTTTTGATAAATTACGTCGTTGTGCCTTGGAATGGCCGTAAATCAAAAATCCACTTTGGCATTTCAAACCATTCTTATATGCTCACCTTTGTTCTACAACCAACATTGGAAGTTGACTTTTTAAAACTTGTAAATGAGTAATGCAATAAGTTGTTAATATTGTGTGGGGTAGGTCAATATAGTGTTTTAATCAGTTGATAAAAACATACCCATGTTACATTTCTAGGCTTCAAAAGGTTTTGACTGCAAATTCAGAGGCTGTTTCAGAAATGTTGGAAGAACAAGGTGACAACTCAAAGGCTTGTAGAGACTTGGCAACATACTGTGTCTCACTCAAAAGGTATTCAAATCTTTCCATTTTAAGACAATCATTACAATATATATATATATATATATATGCACGGTAGAGATCTCCGATCTTGTTCACAAATTCACGGACTAGTGCTGTCTCGTAAGAATTTCGTAGGACGTGTTAAGAATGACAAGATATTCTCAGTATCTACTGGAACCGAGCCACATAGCTTGTATGCCACTATTTGCATTCACACCTGGGCTGTATATATATATTGCCTTGGTTTGGCTCTGTAATCATTAGTGGTCGTGGGACTGGTTTGGGCCCTACCTAAGCTGGTCAAACGTTTCATTTGGGTCTATACCCCAGCTGCACTGATGAGGCCTAGAAGGCCGAAACGGATCCGTCTGCAGATATTGGGATTCCTTCCAGTGGATACTTAGTTTATTTTGTCATTCTGATCGGAT